ATTTCAGTTTTTCTTTTTTAATAAATTTGCAAAAATTTCTACATTTCGGTTTTTTTCTGTCAAAGTGTGTGTGTGTGTGTGTGTGTGTGTGTGTGTGTGTGTGTGTGTGTGTGTGTGTGTGTGTGTGTGTGTGTGTGTGTGTGTGTGTGTACACACACACACACACACAAAGGGGTGGAAGTTCCCACTAGGTTTGTTTATAAAGACGGCGCCTCTTAAACTGAGCCACCTTGCAGGAAGACATCCTGAGGTGGCAATGAAACATGTAACACGTGCAAAATCAAAAGTCACTTGCTTTTCAAAGTGCGCCATATTAACATTGCGTTCCGTCTCGATGCTCTGCAGATGTGAAATTTATTGCAAGCCCTCCGTCCATGGTAGCAGCAGGCAGCATGGTGGCAGCAGTGGAGGGCCTGCAGACCAGAATGGCGGGCAATGCCGCGACGTCTCAGAAGCTAACGGAGCGGCTGGCACAGACCATCCGGAGTGACCCGGTAGGTGTGCCTGTCCATGGTTGGTGCACATAGATACATAATCTCTTATTTACAAACTTACCTGAACCCTCTCTGTGTGTCTTTCAGGACTGTCTCAGGGCATGTCAGGAGCAAATCGAGGCGCTGCTGGAAACCAGCCTCCGACAGGCACAACAACCGCAACATTCGATTACCATGGAAGCTAAGAACATCAGCGAGGGGCAGGATCTCTCAACTACACCCACAGATGTCCGGGACATCAACATCTGATGGTGTGCCGCAGGTCGAACGGACAGAGTAGACAGTCGTCCTTTGACAAATACACACGTGGCTGTGTTTTTACACGATGGGCTGCGTAACTTGGAGCGCTCACAAGTAACTGGACTCGACAGTGTATCAGAAACTGTTCATATGAAGTCCAGATTAAACTGTGGCGGGCGACCAGTAAATGCGGACACCATTGCGTGTCCAGGACATTGACAACCTCAAGACTGGCATTCAGCCGACAACGAAAGAACGGCTGAAAGAGTAATGCTGTCTGTTAAGTGTGGCTTCTTACCCGTGGGTAATGGGTAAGAACCAACCAAGGGGGTGTTTCAGGGCCTAGAGGGCCTGCCTGAACCCCACGCATCCGAGACTGAAACTTCTTGTTCCGTGGCCCATATTTATCAAAGAATAGAACATATAAAAATGTAAAATAATTTGCTAAAGTGGAAAAATATGACTGATTTTATCCAGCAAACCACTTAAGTGTTGGAGCATCAAATCAAATGGAAACAGAACATGGTGTAACATCCTATTAATTAAATGTGCGTTTGGACCGATAACTGAAAAGCAGCAGTTTAAAACTATTCTTTGTACACTTTCCTTCGCATGACATGTTATACCTCTACTGCAGTCTACAGTCATGTTGTCTTATAAGAGGCTCAAATCACAAACGGTCTCTTAGCTCAGGTACGTTTTTATTGATCCTTTAATTTTAGCGGTTTGATTAACACTGGCTCCGGTCAACATGTAAAGTAAGAAATCGATTACCAGTCCTGTGACGAAAAACCAGATGGTTTAAAAAAAATACATAGGGTGTGATATATTTTACAGTATGAGCTGTAATGTTATGCTTGAAGACATGATGGACAACAGGCAAAAAAAAAAGATCAATGGTATCCACATAACATCATCTGGCGCAAAGTGTTTGTGAACTGCCAAACTGAAACTACTCTTCAGATGGGATGCAATGTAGTGCACATGTTACACCACTAGAGGGAAGTGGAGTATTTGGGATGCAGTAGCCACCAAACATAGTCAGTTTTTGGGTTGACATTGGAGCAAAGGGACATCCAACTGCAGTATCGTCAGCCCAAGAGCAAGAACGTCTGACGTCAACAACCATTGGGCTTGTGTCAACACTTCACGTTGCATTCACCGTGTGCATCAGTTCTGCTTTTATTTATTATATCACTTGGCCTTACAGCTAAAGGTTGAGTTGTTCTGAAAGAGAAAATCTGTTTATGGATTCAGCTGCTTTATTTACTTGAAGGTACAACTATTCTGATTCTTGAATAGAGAAGCCTCAAGTAATTGATTTTCCTACATAATGGTATGATGAATTTATTTAGTTTATTTTTATTAAGGGCAAGCTCATGACAAGCTTGTATCAGGTTAAGCCCCATGTTGGTGCTTTGTTGATGTAAAGATGAATTAAAGGAAAACTGATCACTCTGACACAACCTGTTGGTGATGTTTCTATAATTTCACTCTGAAGGTTACAAAAACACAATTTGTTTTCAGGGAATTATACACTCAAGAAAACATACCTCTTAATATATTGATTTTTACCCAATAGACCTCACGAAATGCTTCACAGTGGAAGTCTCTATTCGCTGAGCAAGCACATCCGCTTGGTCAAAGTTGAACAGATCTCTGACCTGCGAATTCACCTGATCCGGCAGGAGATCACACCAAAACTGAAAACGCAAGCTTGAATTTGTCGTTCATTCAGTCATCAGCAGAGGTGACTGAGACGGATGCAGTATTCTGTATATAGCCTCACTACAGTGCTGTGATATAACTGAGAGACATGAGGCTATAACATATGACACTATATGCATGGCATATATTGATTCTACGATAACACAAAGTGAACACCCTGGTATCCGGACCCCTTTTCTTACACAATGTATTTGTGGAGTTGTTCCTGTTCTGATGCGAGAGTCCAGGACAGAGGATGTCTCACTTAACATGGCCGACTGGCCATGGAGGCAAATGAGCAGATCAGGAGTCGAGAAGAGGTTTCAGATGAAGCTTCAAATATATTTACATTCTAACATCACACCAAAGTTCCCACCAGTCTCTACTGGTGGGAGTCTGTTTGTCAAGAGAGACTTCTCTACACAAACAAAATGAGCTCCTTATATACCACCTCACTCTAATTAGCCCAGACATACCATCTACAGGTACCATATATAGTTGATACCATCAACTATATATACATCAATATACAGTGGGTACGGAAAGTATTCAGACCCCTTTAAATTTTTCACTCTTTGTTTCATTGCAGCCATTTGCTAAAATCAAAAAAGTT